TAGCTTGTTCCTCATTTTAAGATTTGAGTATTTGCTCCTAATTTTATGAAACATTTTTTTAAATTAATATTCCTCTTGTCCCAAAGTATTTTTTGATCAAAATATCATCATTAAATTCTTAATCACTATATGTTCTTTAAATTTAGGATCATAATATTCATCATTTTTTTTACCTTTCTTTAGGATGATAATTTTCATCATGATTAATCATTTGAAAGTAGTTTATAAATAAAATTTCATTTGGAATAATCTTTTCATTGCTTTTCAAAATAGTTTTTTAATATAAAAAATTTTAATTCAAACAAATATTTAACTAAAAAATTATTTTACATAGTATTAAGAAAGTCATCTGAAACAAAACCTAAGACTTCATTTGTTTATTTTTAGTATTTAGTGAGAAATTGAGGGATGATAAGAGAGATTTTTTTAATAATATTTTGGGACATTTCTTTGAGATATTCGGAGTTATTTGTTTTGAAGTAAAATTAGCACAGTGTAACAAGAGGCATTAACGATAGAGTTAGCTTGCAATATATTTATAATTCAGTTAAACTCAAATGAGCATTGAATACAAAAGAAAGTGAGCTACAATAAATTTATAATTCACAAAAAAAAATTGCTTTGCATTTTTTTCTCCTAAATATCATGTTGAGCACAATATGCTTTACTTAGCCCATTTTAATGTATTTACATAATAAAATTTTAATTAACTTTCTTTTTTTTTATCAGGGAAATAAGAATTTTTTAAATTATTTACATAATAAAATTTTAATTAACTTTTTTTTTTTTTAATCAGAGAAATAGGATTTTTTTATTGATTCCAAAATGATGAAATCATATATGACACTAATTAAATGGTTTTAAAGATTATATATGATTTTGATATAATATTTGAAGGTTATGAAATTAAAATCTTAAGCAGTTAAATTTTGTTTCTCCTTATAGAGATGAATTTTATCCCATAAAATGATACATAATATCTTTGCCATAATTTTATTTGGGCAAACATCCTCTAATGTATTTTTTTTTATCAATATACGCTTGATGAGATATAATCCCTTATATTCATGTATACTCGTTAAGATTTAAAAAAAAAATAATCTCATTTTTTCACTTGTGTGAATCATCTTTCTTTATAGGAGCAATTTTAGGAGGATTAGAGGTCAAATGATAAGTGTCAGGATTGGTCCAATTTTAGTTAGTTAATCTGCAATACACTATACAAATGTTTATATATACTGCATTTGTCTAGCTAGTCTGTATCTAAAGAGGAAGGAATAAGATCAAGTTCTATTTTTCATCTCCAAAAAAATCATGAGTGCTCTCACACTCTCCCTCTCATCCAAGACGATTCATCAATTTTCAGGAAATCTCAACAAATTGATATCATAGCTGCGGATTTGTGGATTTACGGTAGGATTGCACACACGGAGATGGGCAATGTGAGCATGGAGCGGAGCTCGCAGTGACGGCGTGGGTTGCAAGACCCGCACGGGAGTACAAGGAGCAAGGTTTGGTTCTTGGGTCTTGACCGCGGAAGATGCAAGGCTCGTTCGCAAGTGGAGCAGGCGGATCATACGGGAGGTCGTGGATTGGGGGGTGTGACAGATTCGTTTTGTTGGGTTGTTCGATCGCGCGAAGGATCAGGGAAGCAGTGGAGGTCGGGTTGTGTGCAAGCTGGGAGACCATGTCATGACTGGGCTACGTGTTGACTTTGATGATCTGTCGTGGCATAGCTTGATCCTCGAATGGTTGTGTGCTTCTATGGTGGAGGCAATGCGGTGCAAGGGTTTCCTATTCTTGTTAAAGATATGTTTAGGTTTTTAAGGTGGAGGTTTTTCTTTGATATTCATTGTAAAATTGCTCGAAAGTGGATATTGTTAGGATTGGTCTAATTTTATTTAGTTAATATGTATGACATCATGAGTGTCTATACATATTCCATTTGCCTAGTTTGTATCTCGAGGAAAACAAATAAGATCACATTCTATTTCTCCTCTAAAAAAAGATTGCGAGTTCTCCCACTCTCGATCTATTCCTCTCATCTAAGAAGATCATCTTTCTTCAAGAAATCTCAACATTAAGTATATACACTACAATAAAATAAGGCCTTTTGCGTATAGGCTATGGCGGCGATTTTAACAACCACAAAATTGATTGCAACGGTTTTAAAACTATAGCAAGGCCGTTGTAATTTTTGTTTGCTATAGAGGACTTTCACATCGATTTTGATATTGTTGGGAAGGCAATTCATTGCATTAGTTTTCAATCGCTATCAATCTGCACATATAGTGGTGGTTTCAACTACCACATATTTGCATCTATAGCAGTGATTTTAACTGTCACTATGGCTATATAATAGTGGCGGTTTTAAATGCTTCATAATGAGAAAGAGAAAAATAATATTTAAAGGTTTTTGAGCTAATTTTCTTCATCGGGCTAATCAGAAAAGTTATCTGCCTTACAGAACGGTATCATTTTTCTATTTCAAATTTCGAAAATTTTCTCTCTTGTGTATATTATAAAATTTTGTTTTGTTGACTTTTATACAAATTCAGGTCTATGGAGATTTTAAAATTTTAATTGGGTAACTTTTGATATATAATACAATGAGTTATTCTATTCATATATATATTGACATATGCAAGTTAATTTTTTATTGGATATTTTATGCATTTTAGTGAGTACATAGACCAATTCCTATAGAATAATAAGGGTTCTAAAATGATATTGTGGATATTGCATATAAATGATTTTATGATTTACAATTATTAAATTGTGTACACTAGTTTATCCCATAAATTTGAATATTTTATCACATATACAAATTTTTTTAAATTTTTTGAACATGTTAAATGCTTTCCACATATATTAAAATTGTTGAAATTTTATGCTTATGAATCTAAAATATATATATAACAAGGAAGAAAAGGAAAGAAGTGCTGGCTATTTTTTTTTTTTTAACAAAAAACGAAAAACTTTATTAAAAAAAAAAAAAAAGAGTACAAGGAGCAAAATGACATGAAAGCAACAGAAAATACAAGGGAGTTACAACCCAACATGCTCAATAATTGGCCGAGGCTTCCAACTTCCCCGAAGCCAAGCTCAGACCATCCAATTTGGTGAAGAGAGCAGTAAAACACGAAGCAGCCAACCCAACCGTGCAAGAGACCACCACCAAAGGTTGCCACAAGCCATGGCGACGGAGAAGCGAGCCCCAACCACATCAATGCCCAGCAAACCAAATGGCCAACAGTAAATATAAATCGAAGCTCCAATGAACCAACACAAGCAAAGACAATCAATGCAAAAAATCAACCACCATCGAGAAGCAGCAAAGACAGCCGGGAACAAACCAAAGACAGCAGCACCAACCCACAAATTATTTCCTCCCACATTTACCCGTCCCACTAGAGGAAACCGAAACAACAGGACGATCATTCGGTAAGGGAAAAAAATCAACCCCATGTTCATCATCCTCACTAACTTCCGAAGAAGAATCGGAAGAGCATTGAAGCCAATCAAGTTTCATCCTAACATTCTCCCCCGAATTGGCACCTACTTGAGCAACCAAAGTTTTATGTGAGACTAACTTAACAGGGGCCTCAACAAAATGACCATTTAACTATTAGTTGGTTGTACTCTAGTACAAGGGTTTGCATTGAGTTGAATTGTGACAATAGCTTTCACATAAAATTAGAGGTGTCAATATTTGACCCGACCCGAAAACCCGACCCGACCCCGACCCGAAAATTTCGGGTTTGGGTTAAGGATTTCGACCCGTTTGTAAAACCGGGTCGGGTTCGGGTTGACCCGGAAACCCGAAATCGACCCGGTTTGACCCGTTTTTAATTAATTTAGGAGGATTTTAAAAGATTTTTATGAAATAAGTAAACGATATTTCAAAAAATTACAAACATTGTTACCCAAATTAAATTAATCTTGATTTATTTTAAATTAAATGAAGTAAATCTTAGCTTAATTTGATTTAGATTTAAATAAAATGAATTAAATAAAAAAATTTTAATAAAATATACCCGAAGTGGGTCGAGTTCGGGTTGACCCGGACCCGAAGCGGGTAGGGTTCGGGTTCAGAAAATCGACCCGTTTGCAAAAACGGGTCGGGTTGAACAGTAGTATCGGGTCAATTTCGAGTTTGACCCGAACCCGACCCGTGACCTGTTTTTGACAGCCCTAGATAAAATCATAAATTTTTTATTAATATTTTATTGGTAAAAAAAGATAGATTGATCTCTAAGATTACATATTCTAAATAATACATATATTTGACAATAAGATTATAATGTTAGAATATTTAATAAAAACTTTTAAACTCATTTTATATTTAATTTCTTATAAAATAATCATTAATTTATTAAGATTTCATTTGAGACAGTTTTATTAATGTTTTTTAAAGAGTTATTTAGAATAAAAATTATCTTAAACTGAAATTTTTTAACAAATTGTTTTGCTTTAAAAAACAATGAAAAAGTGAATCAAACGAAGCAAAGAAAAATGCTTAAAATATATAACAAATAAATTCTAATATTTAATAACTTTTGAAATATAATTTTTTTTATAAAGTAGATATATAAAATGGCTTAACAAATTAAATTATTACTTTAAAAAATAAATTAAGGATTTATTTTATTACTGAAATCGGCGGTTTATTTATTGCTCCAATCTTTTATGGTATCTGTGATGAACAGAAGACATTTATCAACCCCACAAGCCTTGGGGTTGATCTTGATCTGACAGATTCAATAAAGTCACTCTCATTTTAAAAAATGTACGCTTATCCCTCCAGCAACATTCAAACATCCAGCCGAAAGATGTCCTAATCAGCGTGGTGAATATCATATATCCGTTAGAAAAATACAAATAAGAGTACAAGCAGGTTACCTTCTTGGATTTGGGAAAACTCAGAACAGAAGAGAGAGAAAGAGAGAGTTGTTGGATTTGGGAAACTCAAAACCGAAGAGAAGGAGAGAGAGTGAGTGATGGAGTGGCGAAGAGTGAAGAAGGGGCTTGTTCTACTTTGCTTTGTCTGTTGTCTTACAGGATTTGAAGCTAAAGGTGTGGAGTTCTCGAAGAAGAATGAGAGAAGGGTTCCCAATGCCTTATCTGAGATGAGAGGTCCTGGTTTTCTCTACACCAGAGATACAGGACGATGCACCCCTCAGTAACCTTTCTTCCTTCCATTCTCTTTTAACGTTTTCCTTTCAAAGTACTTTCTGGTTATTTTTATATTGTTTTCTTATCTATTAGTTTTGTCTCTGTTTGAAGAGCTTGTAGCAAATGCACATCTTTTCAATTTCTGAGTGAGTTAAAAATTTCGTTCTGATTGATCAGTTGATCGTTCTGATGGAGATTTTACACTGAGTAGGCCCTTGTTATAAGAAGAAGTTCTGAGCTTTCTTGTTGATAGATTTAACATGTCTTTTTATTGTAATATGCTCTGTTAAAAGCAATATCCTGAATATCTTTTTTCCAGACATCTCTCCTTGAACTCTTGATGTTAGTTAATTTGAAAATTTGTTAGATTAGAGCTGCTTGGTTGCAAGATTTTAGTGCTGATTTAGGATAAATCTTGCCAAAATTTTTTCCATTGGAGTAGGATTTAAGTGATTTCGCCACTTTTTCTCCTTATGTCTCTTCTTCTCTTTCATTTCAATTATAGATATTAAAAATATTTGCTAAACAGTTTATCAGAATTAACATTTAACATGCTCAAAAGCTTTTTAGATTAAAAACTGGCAGAATTTACTGAATATGGATTTATAAGATTTAGTAAATTTTACAAATGTTTGCTTCAATGTCTTGTGCTCTTATAATTGTCCAATGGATTTCAAGCTCTGCAGTTGGCAAAACAATGTTTATTGCTCGAGTTACAGATCTGAAAATGTCCAACGTCGTCAACTTATAGTAAAAATTACTGAGAAGGATTCAAAGTTTTTGAAAGATTATAGGCAATATTGAAACAGTATTTTACAAAATATTGGAATTTGTAGAGCCCCTTCCATGCCCATATGCTGATAATTGTCCAAAATGAAGGAGAGATTGTACAGGAAAGAGTGCCAGTAAATTTCAGTAATATGATTAGATCAAAAGATTACTATACAAGCTTAATACATAACATTATTTGAGGAGATTGCTTTCTGGTGTTGAAGGAGCATCCAAGAATCATAAATTAACAAGTAGAGAGAGAAAATGGGAAGAGAAATACCGGACGGGTGCCAATCTAGAGAGAATGGAGGAGTTTTTATCATGCTTGTAGGAGAGAGATTATGCAATTCGTCAAGAAGAAAGTCGCTTTGTTTGTTTTGATTCCATAACAATTAGGAGCTTTATTTGAGGCAACTTTCTTATTACTTTCTAAAGTAGCTTTAAAATACAAAAAAATTTAATTCAAATTCTTTTTGTATTAAAAAGTTATTTTAGGAAGCAGTAAGAAAGTTGTCCCACAAAGCCTTAGTTTGAACTTTTATAATTGAGAATGGAATTAGAGTGATTGTCAGAAAGCTTGAGTTGTAATGGCTATAATAATATGTTGATACATATGTGCTTATATATAAACAAGAGAAAAAAAAAAAAAAAACTATTCATATTTAGTTCTGCTTGCATCTCACTGAACCTAAAGAATTTTGTGTTTGTATATATTGTATTTTAGTTTCTCATCCTCATACACTTTTTACTGGTTACTATTACTTAACAAATACAAAGCACCCATACTTAAACCCATAAAACATAGCTGAATACCTAATCATAGTTTAATAAAATCACATTTGTTTAATGCTTATAATAAATAGTACCATGGCCCTATAAGATTATGTTAGGCCAGTTCTCCCTGAACCGGCCCAATCAGCCCAAAGACCGGTTCTTTATTACAGGAGGCGGACAAGCCGCCCTAGCCTAGTGGGGCCCACTAGTCAAGCCGTTTAAGGAAGAAGAGGGAGGGGGGTGGCTAGGAGTGGGAGGGAAAACTTTGAATCCGGTGTTTGAAATTAGAGGAGGGATTAAATAGGAAGAATTGTTTAGGTTTAGGGTTATGCATGTATTGGTGGCTGTTTTCTTGAGAGTTCTTGTCTTGAAGTCATGGGCCCTAGATTTCTTCCAGTGATTGGGAGTGAAGATCCTCCTCTCGAAATTGAGGATCTATGTATCTTATGTGTTTCTTCGTTTATTTGATTTCCGTCAATCATAAGGTGGTGTTTTTGCTGAATTTTCCCATCTAAATCTTGTTCGTTTGCTGTTTTCTTCTCTCTTGTTAGGAATCACTTGGATTTCTCTAATATTTCCTAACAGATTACACCCTGCTTAGTCTTGAGCTGCCTCAACAGAGTTATCATTAAATTCGAACGCAATTGCACTTGTGCAGATATTGGAGCAGCAGAAGAGAGGCATGGCCAAAGTCACTACCTCAGGATTCCTCAGTTTCAAAGGTTTTTGGATCAATGCTGTTGGAGAGGTATGAACCAAAACTTACATTGTTGGATGTGATTCAGAGGAATGATGATACTGGTGGCAGTATTTTCATCAAATTAGTGAAGCAAGCAAGCACTGCACTTCTTAATTCATACACAAGGCCTGGCTATCCTTACAACCCTTGGGAAGTGAAGGCTCTCCTCTTAGAGGCTATTCTCTCAGAGGAGGATGCAGCTTCACAAGCTGAAGTTTTCTCACAGGCTAATCATGGCTGCTCTTAACTATTTTTTTTTTATATATCTTGAGCCCTATAGCTGATATATTATGTAAGTTGTCTAATCTGGTTTGCTAGTTTTTTGGGTACTTTGGAGTGTTCTTTAGGAATGAAATTAACCATGTCTAATGTAGAATTGTGGAAGTTGGATTTTGATCCGATTGTGAATTGTAGTGTTATTTAAGCTGATATGTTCTTCAATTTCGTAGCCCAATGTGTTTATTATGGTCGACAATTTCTCGAGCTAGAGTACTTAACGAGCCCACTACTTGAATTTAAGTAACAAATAAGCTCGATTTCGAGCATCTTATAACTCTACTTGTTCAATCCATTTGTTTATTTGAACAAATATAATTGAACAACAACATGCTCGGGTTTGACTCATTCATGAAACGAGCCTATAAACAAGTTGAATTCGTAATAGTTATCTAGCGATTCAAACGAAGTAGATTCAGGCTATATAGAAAGACAAGTAAAGATCGAGGGAGATTGAAAGAGATTTAAGAGTGTATTCTAGGATTCTCTTAAACACCAAGCACAACCCCAGAATCTTTGCAATAAACACCAAGCAACCCCAGAATTTTTACAAGCAAAAGGAATTGATGAAGAAATCCAAACAGAGATGAGAGGTGAAGTGATGGTTAAGTTACACTCTTTATGTATTTATAATTCCTTGCACTAAAAATATAGGATATGTTCACAAGATTTTATTATACATATTAAAATTAATTTTTATGCTTGTCTGATTAGTCAAGCAGCTTGCGTGAGTCTTACCCCATATTGCCGAAAGGATTATAGCCTCATGCCTTCCACATTTTCCGTTGGATTTCTCATAAAATTCTTCAGTGCGTTCAGCACGAAAAATTATTCTGTGCGGAAGCTGGACGTCGTTTGGAGGCTAATCAGAGCATGCCACGTCACTTTTTGCTCAATATCGGTGATGGGTACAACTGTGTACTGGATGACATGACACGTTCTGATTGGCCTCCGGACTGTTCGGTATCCACACAGAATAATATCACGTTCAGCATAGCTTGAATTTATTTCAATTATGTTTTTTTGTCTATTATAAGAAATAACAGTTATGTATATTTCTTGTAGAGAATGTATTGCTTCATAAAGAAGAAAAAATTATAACGAATTATCTTAATAGAATTTGTATTTCAAAACTATGAGTCTGTGACATAAAAACTTTAAATTAATCATCACAAAATTCCACATCCCTCATATAAAAAGCCATAAAATCTTCATTTTCTACCAACCACACCAACTCTTTTACCTCTCTACCACTCTTCCTTCAAATTCAACTCCTCTGCTTTCATGTCTTGTTTTGAGCTGAAGAAGAAGCTCCCCCTCCCAAACAAGCCATGAGAAGCTTCACTTCCCTCGTCAAATACAACTTTCAAAATCTCAGGCGATCAAACATCATCACAATTGTCTTCTCAATCATTCCTCGACCAAAAAACCATCTTAACCAACGTAGAAGGAGAGCTCATCAGTTGCAAAGCTTAGCACCTGTGTTTGCAGATGAGCTCTTCCATTACCATCCCACTGACGATGCTCACCGGACCACCAAGTTTCAGAAACTAATTCACCAAATACAATGGAGAATGAAGACGTTATATGGGAAGTTGAGGAGTTGGGAAAGGTGGACGTGAGAGCTGAGATGTTAATCAGAAAGTTCAAGGAGGAGATGAGGCTTCAGAGGCATAAGTCAATCAAGAGATGCTGGCAAGAGGAGGATTTTCATAAGGAGTTTTATTTTCTTTATTTGCTTAGGATATAAGTTGTCTTCTTTTCTTTTCCATTTTCAAGAAATTATCATTACTTTCCAATAGCTTAGGTCACCAATGAGATAAATTTTGTTTTTTGTATTTTATTTTATCATTTATGTTAAAATATATATGTTTATTGTATTTTTATACATTTGTATTTTATTTTAAAAATAACTGTCATTGCTTGTAGTCGCCAACCTACATTTCTGATAACAATCATTGACTGCCACTTCTGGCGTTTGCCTACTAACATCTTGGAGCATAGTACGCCCCTTTTTTAGAGAGAGAGGTATAGTGTTAGAGAGAGAAGCTCCGCTAGGGTTTCGTTCTCTTTCGCGCGAAGCTTGCCGCCACCCTGCCTCCTTGGGGAGGACTCCATCATAAGGATGTTGTCCTCCTCCCCCCCCCTATCTTCTTCCACCCTTTCTCAAGCTCCTTCAGCTAATGATCTACTTCATTGGAAGCTCCTTTTGGCCTCGCAGACCCCTGTCTCTCATGACTTCTCTAATTCCTTAGCCCACCACCCCACGGAAAACTTCGCCGCCCATTTCACTAAGTCACAATTTGTTGCTGGAGCTCCCGAATGGAACTTATCCCTTATCGGCTATTCCATCGGGAGAAAACCGTATTACGAAGCTCTTCTTTCAACCATAAAATAAAAAAAACTTGGTCTCTTAAGGGAGATCTCTCTCTTCTAACTCTTGATGATGGTTTCTTCTTGCTCAAGTTTTCTGCCCCCGAAGATTACGACATGGCTTGGATGGGAGGCCCTTGGTTTTTCTTTGGAAAACCATTTATTCTGCAAAAGTGGACTCCGGACTTCGTTCCGAAGAGAGAAGAGTTTGCATCAATCCCTCTATGGATAAAGATTAAGAATATTCCCCTTTCCCGCTAGACTCTCGAAGGGATTTCCAAGGTGGCTAGCTGTGTTGTCGTTCCCATTGCAGTGGATGCTCTCACTGCGGCAAAGACTAGACTAACATTTGCCCGAGTCTGTGTTTAGGTGATGTGTTCTACTCCCTTACCTGATGACATTTACATTTCAGTGGATGGAAAAACCTCTCCCCTTACTGTGCTATATGACTGGAAGCCCTCTCAATGCTCTTTCTACAGTTCTATCTACCATGCTCCCCAACAATGTCCAAAAAACCTAACCCACCAACCAAAATCCCACCTCCTCCGAGAGGCCGTAGTACCAGCCGAAAGCCACGAAAATCTCAACCACCTCCCCAGCTCTCAATTCCCAAACCTATACTACCAGGCCATACATCTCATAATCAGCCTCTGATCCAAACTCCCCTGATACCCAACCTCAATTCCCCCTCTGGTGATACCTCGTTACCAAACACTTCCACTCTTCTTAACCCTGCCCTACCTCCACGGCCACCACCAATCCTTTCTTCTAACAACAAATTTGATGTTCTCTCTGAACTTCAAGATGTCCCCTCAACATCCTCTCTAAATCCGCAACAGTTAACCTCCACCACCACTCCATTAAACAATTCCACTAAGCTCTCATCTATCCCAAAACCCTCTTCTACCCCTCAAAATCCTCCTCCCATCCTCTAATAGCCCAATTCTCAGCAACAGTACAAGCAATGACTTTAGTCAAGACCCTGCTTATACTGAGTCTACCTCCAAATCCACAAGAAATAAGAACGCCAAAAAGGCACCCAACACCCAAAAAAAATCCAAATGACCCTGCCCCGCTTGGCTTCTTGGAACATCAAGGGATTCAATAGCTCATCCAAAGTCATGTCCAGCCAGTCCCTTATTAAAAAACATAATCTGGATATGTTGTTCATCCTTGAAGCCAAAATCACCGCCGCCTCCACGTCTGATGTCTGGTTTAATTCCTCTCACCTGGTCTTCCCTCGTGAAGATTCTTATAATAACTTTGCTTTGTCTAGCCCTGGTCGTATTTGGATCAAATGGAATGCCCAAAAGCTATCTTTTAAACTGTTGTTTACCTCCTCCCAACTCATTCATGGAATGTTCCAAGTGGGTAGCTCTGATGTTTGCTGTGTTTCGGTTGTGTATGCCTCCAACTCTATTAACGAGAGACAAATTATCTGGAATCAAATATTTCAAATTCCTGGCAATATTTCTGCTCCGTGGGCAATTCTCGAGGGCTTTAATTGTTGCAAATTCGCCACAGATAAGGCTGGTGGATCTTCCTTGCATCACAGTAAACTTGGTGAGCTTACTAGCCTCTGTCTCAACACTGAAGTTTTTGATTTAGCTTATGTGGGACACTTCTACACATGGTTCAACCAGAGAATTGATAACCTGATCCATATCAAGTTGGATAGAGTTTTTGTTAACAACATTTGGCTTAATTTATATCCTGACTCCTACTACATTGTGGGAGACCCGGAGATTTCTGACCATTGCCCCATTATTCTTCAATATGAGAGCATTCCTAAGCACAATCATCGTTTACAATATAAGAATTATTGGCACAAGTTTTCGGCTTTTTGGGATGATGTTTTGAATGTTTTCTCCCGTCCCACTTCCGCCAGCCCCATTTATGATCTTTATTACAAACTTAAAGAGCTCAAAATTAGCATCAAAAGCATAAATTGGAATTCCTCCAATGCCCTCCAAAAAGTAATTCGGGATCTTTTTTCCACCCAAGCTGGCATACTATCCAGTTTGCAAGACAATCCTTTGGATACTTCTCTCAATAATGCTTTAAAATCCACATCCTTTAATCTCATTGATGCTCATTCCCATTGGTTTGATTGGATATCCCAAAGAGGTAAAGCTAAGTGGCTGGCATATGGTGAAGATGATTTGAAGTTCCTCTACTCTAAAATTAAGCACATAAATAACACTAGTCGTATCAGGTGCATTAATGCCAATGGCTATATCCTTACCTCTTCTTCTGAGATTAGCTCTACTTTTATTACCCACTTTACTAACCTGTTCAACAGCCACGATCAAACCTCTACCGCTGACGCTCATATCCCTACCGGAAATACCATCCCTTATGATCTCCTGGTTGATCTGGTTGCTCCTTTTACTACTGAGGATATTAAGCAAGTCATTTTCACGGCTCCTCCCAATGCTGCACGTGGCCCAAACGATTATATTTTTGAATTCTATAAGGATACTTGGAGCATTACCGTGCCTCTATTATGCTCTGCTGTGACTTCTTTCTTTTCCAACTCATTTATTCCAAAACAAGCAAAACATATTTCTATTGCTCTTATACCTAAACATACCCATGCCTCCTCTGTAGCTGATTACAGACCAATCTCTTTATGTAACTCCTTTTACAAGATCATTGCTAAGCTGTTAGCTAACAGGATGAAAAATGTCATGCCTCACATCGTGCACCAAAGTCAAGAGGGTTTTATCAAGAATAGCATTATTTCTAACAATATTATCCTAGCTAACAAACTCTTAGGTATTTTTAACCTTAAAGGATAAATACTTATGTGCTAAATTTGATATCTACAAGGCCTTTGATATGGTATCTCGACAATTCCTTCTTAACCGTATTCAAGCCAAAGGGTTTCCAAATGTTTTTATCTCCTGGATTAAATCTTGTATTATGGATGTGCATTTCTTGGTGAACATTAACGGACACTGGAAGGATTTTTTAGGTCAACCTCTGGATTGAGACAGCGATGCCCCCTTTCTCCTTATCTTTTCTCTATTGTCATGGATGGTCTTTCTTCTTGCTTTGATGAAGCAGTTGCTAAAAGAAAACTGACGGGGATCTCCTTGGGTAACATCTCTATGACTCATCTTTTAAATGCTGATGATCTTCTTGTTTTTGCTAAGGCGAATAATAGTAATGCTAGAAGTCTTCACACCATTCTTCAACGGTTTGCTATATTATCTAGACTCAATATCAACCCTCACAAAAGTACCATCCTCTTCTCCAACAATTGTACTTTTGGTGATGAAATCAATAACACTTTAAGCATTCAGCAAACCCAAGGCTCTATCAATTACCTTGGGCTTCCTATTTCCATGAAGAAACTCAAACAAGCTGATTTTGAGCCTCTAATTAAGAAAATCCCCACTGCCCTTGAAGGATGGAAAGCAAAAATTCTCTCTTTTGCTGGGAGAATCCAATATCTTAGATACACCATTTTCAGCACTATTGCTTACTGGATAAGAGGGTCTATTATACCTAAGAATTGCTGCAAGATTATCACTAAAATATGCTTGAGATTTCTGTTTTCTAGAGATATTTCTGAAAAGAAACTTCATATAATTGCTTGGAAAGATACCTGTATTCCCAAAACTAAAGGAGGTCTCGGCCTCCCCTCTATGGAATCTCTATCTCATGGGTTTAGCTATTCCATTATTTGGAGATTCCTTAATGAGGATAGTCTTCTGTTCAGTTGGTGGAGAAATAGGTATTTCTCCTTGTGGTTTCCTCACCATAAGCACTTGTCTGGTTATTGGAGAAATATTAGCTTGATTGCCCAAAATATCAAACACTATCTATCCCTCAGAATACATGACAAAAGCTTCTTTTCTCTTCTTTGGGATCCCTGGTGTCATGGCAAATCTATTTTGGAATGTTTGGATTCTCTTCCTCCTCAGCATAGTCTTGATGCTTATTATGAGTGGAAGGTCTCCAGCATTATTCACCTTGGTAATTGGTCCCCCTCGAGCTTCCTTCCTCCTCAGATTATTAGTGATATTCTTAGGTTCCCTATTTTATGCACTGGTCATGGCCCCCTCTGGCTTAACTTTGACAAAGTTTCTCACAAAGGCTTTAGAAAAGAATTTTATAGTTCCATCCCCTCTGTTAGCTGGCATAATTTTGTTTGGCACAAACAGTTTTCTTTAAGATACTCATCTTTCTCTTGAATGGCATTTAAATGTGGTTTAAAAACAGCTGATCAATTGATACGCCGAGGCATCTCTGTTGCCCTGTTTGTAAATTCTGTGAGGCTCTTACTGTATTATCCCATTCTCATCTCTATTTTGAGTGTGATTACTCTTATGGAGTTTTGATCATTCTGATTCCCCAATTCCAGCATCTACTTCTTAGGTCTAATCTCTACCAGGCATTCAGTTATATTGAGGAGATTATTGATCATAAAGATATGCATTACATTTACTGTCTCCTATTAAATGATGCTATTTACTACATTTGGAGGGCTTGTAATGATAGAGCCTTTTGTAACAATCTGGAATGTAAGATTACCGTGGCCAAAAAGATCAAACGTGCTATTCGTGATAAACTCGGGAAGTGGAAAAATGGGGATAATCTTGCTTATATGCTGGACTAGGAGTCTTGGATTTTTGACTCCTCTTTCTCTTGGTTGGTTGCCCAGATTTTTGACTGGGAGTCTTGGATTACTTCGTTTTACTGCTGTTTCATATGGGGATTCTCTTTGCATGGGTGGCAATTCTGTTGTTGAAACGATTCTCATGCCCCTGGATGGCCTTCCCAGACAACCAGAGGTATGTTTCTGTGCGATGTTGAGCTGGACTGTTCCGTGCTATCCCGAGAATTTTAAGAAAGATTTTGGCTGGACGATGATGAATGCTGCAGCACTCGCCTAGGACGATCTTCTTGGCAACCAAGGGATCATACGATCATCCTTGATGAATTTTGGCGGTAGATTTTGTGCTGTAGCCTGAGTCCTGCTTTTGCTATTTTATTTCTTCTCTTTTTGTCTATGTTTTCTTTCATAGTTCATTGGGAGGTTATTTTTTGGGTTCTTTCCCTTAAGCTGTTTTTTGTATTAGCTTAAGTGGGTTTTGCTTTCATTACCTGTAACTTTTTTTCATAGTAATATATGGGCATTTGCCCCAAAATTTCCCAAAAAAAAAAACATCTTGGATCATTGTTGCCCACCCCATTTGCTCCATCAGATATCGCTTCCATAACTGTTTAAATCAATTTATTCATTATTCAATAAAAAATGAAAAAAAAAAAATATTTTAAAATATCAAATATATTTTATTTCAAATTAAAATAAATTAAATGAAATAAAAATGAAAAATAAGAGTAACACCTAATTGCCCTTGGTAGCTCTCCACCTTGTTAGCAATTAATTTCATACAACCGTGTCCTTAAATCCCCAATCACTTAAGGGCGCTTGTTTGGAATACAAATTATTGTAAAAGATTCCAAATGCAAGAGTTTAATTTGAAATAAAATAAGTGTTAAACATTACAAATATAAATATTTTAAAAATATTGATGATTTGTTTGAAGTAAAAGAAATACAATAGAAAAATTTGAAATATTTGGGCTTCATCTATTTTTTTTGATGTATTTGGAAATCATTAGATTTGATCGAATTCCAAAATACACAGTAAAGTTTTGGTTATTGCTGTTGTGTTCGATGGCGCTTTTCTCCGCCACCTACCATTGCGGTCACCACCACCACTCGTTGCCCGTTGTAGCCCATCGCCCCCACAACTAGCCAACACTCACTGCCAACCACCTTCCCTAGCCGCTGCCACCAAAACTAGATTGTTGGAGTTTACATTGGATTCATTTTACTATAAGTCAAAATAAAAAAAATAATAATTTTTTTTTTTTTACTTTTATCTAAACAATTTCAAAACATTTAAAATAGGTTAAATTTATTTTTTCATCAAATTAAATAGCCCCTTTGTCAAACACTACACCTCAGTCTCTCTAATGCTACGATGAAATTTCTGATCATTAAAAAAAAAAAAAACTCATTATGGAAGAAATATGTGCCTTCTTCATCTGTACAGATAATGAGAGGGAAAAAATCAAACTGGACTGTTATGGAAGGTATCAAATTAACCTAATTTCCTCAGTATGTTCAATTTCTTTGACGGAAGATTGTAGCAGCAGTAGCTTTTACTGACTTCTTCCAGACCAACCAAACCCATCAAATCCTTGCCAGGATCTTTTAAAAGAGCAAATTTTATTAGATTATTTTGAAGCAAATTTGATACAATAGTAAAGAGAAAAAGAACTATGAAAATTTTCTAAAATGTGCTAGCTTTATTATAGAAAATTGTACAAACTTAGCTCTGATCCCCCATCAATAAATATGTTTGATGATATATTGATTTGAGTAACTCATGGTTCCGCCTTCCGCCTTCCTCATTCAGCTTTCACAATCCCGCTTCCACACTCGAACCACTTAACAAATAATTGAGCCAAGCATCATTTCAATCAAACTCGAACTCGTTAATCCAACGAGCTCAAAATTCAGCTCGAGACTCGATAAGCTCGGCTCGTGAGCTCATTAATGAGTTGAGCTCGAGTCGGCTCAGCTCACACTTACACCCCTACCCCTCATGAAAGGTGCATAGAAGTAAGTAATTATGATAATTATGATTTAACTCTTTCACATCCTTTTTCGCTACAAGACAAAGAAGTAAGTAAAAACTAAAAATTATTTGCTCATAAGGTGAATATTTTATTGTATGTAACTTTATTTCTTTATTGTTTTGAACCTAACAACATTAATGTCACAGCCTAACCCTAAACTTTCCAAAGTCACATTGACAGCTTCTTTAATAACTCTTTTCAAAGTCTTCTCCACTTTAGTTGGTCACAAAGTGAAAGGAGAAAGTGGAGATCTCAGTCTACTTAGTCAAATTTTCTTCAATAAAATCTGTGTCTCTGAACAGAATTCTACAAGTTTTTCACTGCATACTCTGAATAATATGTTACAGAAAGATTTATGTGAAGGGAAATCTCTATTAATGGATGCGTTCACTGCTTCTTAATCAAACAAGTTTGTTAGTTTTTCCTCCAATATATAATTTTATAAGTTATCTAACTTAGATTCAACCAAGCTCATAATATCAAATGTGTTTTTCTGTATAGAGTCTTTGACCATTCACTAACATTTCTTTTAACCTAATCCACTGACAATCTTTTTTTTTTTTTTTTTACTACAGGAAAATTGAAAGAAATGTTGGGTGGTTTGGCACTTTGATCTAACTCATAATAATTATATGAACTCTTATGTAGGGATGCCAATTCAGGTCAACGAGTCGGGTTCGAGTCGAACTCGAAATTGATCTGACGTTATATGACACGACCCGAACCCGATTCATTTTTGCAAACGGATCATAAAATGCAAACTAGACTCGACCCATCGAGTTGATGGGTTGACACGACCTGACACGAAACGAGTCGACCAGACCGACGTGATAGGACGGGATGCGACACTGCAACAGGACGAGATCGTCGGGACACGACACTGCGATAGGACGGGACAACTTCAAGAGACTTGAACAGGCGATTGGCGAAGCTAGGTAGCCAGCTGCGAGCCTACGGATGCCGCAGTGTGGACGGGCAAGCCAGCTGGCCAAGACGGGCGAGCGGCATGCCTCGCGGTAGCAGACGTGAGGCGCCTTACGCGGCTATACCATTACACGCATTTGTCAGAACAGCCAACAATGGAAGTCTGGCAAGCGGTGCCCGCGGGATGACTCCGACGAGTGACTCGACCAGAACCGATCACGGGTCAAACCCGGGTTGGTTTGTGTTTCCATGTCAACCCAATACTGACCCAGTTTTACAAACAGGATGAAAACTCGAACCCGAACCCAACCAGTTTCTCAAACTAGTTAATCCTAACCCGTGATTTTTGGACTGGGTTCGGATCTGATTTTCGTGTCATGTCAAATATTGACACCCCTAATCTTAAGAATTCTTAATTATTTTAAGGTTTAGGGTCAAAACTTGTAGAATAGAAAATCATGGGAGGGATGTAGCATAGAGAAGGAACGAGAAATCCATCTTCATATTCGTCCAATTTCAAAAGATTCATGATCTCCTTCATGGTTGAAGTTGGCTACACTAAAGATCTGTTTGAGACAACTTTTGACCATTGTTTTTTTTTTTTTTAATCTGTTTAAAGAAATTTTTGTAAGAAAGCTATACCAAACGAAGTCTAAATTTGTATTTATTTGAAAAAATAAAAGAATATCTTTCTAAAATATAATATACTATTAGTAGGTAAAGATTTAACAAACAATAAAAATAATTATATCAATTTGTTTATTACAAAAGATATTCAATTTCAAATAGGAGTTGTCACTCAGAGATGGTACTATGTACATAAAGCCGGTTCAAATTTGATCTAATTATTGATTTGAATTGATCAATTTTTGTGTGTTCACACGCATTAAGCATGTGTCTTCATAGTGTGAATGTAACGAACAATATTAAACTGGTTTAGTAGGGGGACAAAGTTATGAATTTTACTCTTTATAATATAAAATAAATAAGATAAAATTTTCAAAATGAAGCTTTTATGATTTTCATTTAAAAATGAACTACTTGCCTATATTTTACTATTTTTTTTTCTTAAACAAATTGAGTTAGATAGATATAGGGAAGGAAAAAGGAAAAAAAGGAGTGATGCAAGGTTTTTTTTTCTTTAAAATTTATTTTTATTTTTTTAGGAAGGGTTGTGCATATGAAACGTAATAAATATAGCATCAAATTTATCCTTTATATTAAAAAATAATAACTTTTGCAAGAGTTTGGCTTTATGTAAAAATTTTGTATAAAAAAGCCGCCGCAACAAAGCTTTAGATGGACATAAATTATTTGCAACGAAATATGTTGGCCACAATCGAAGTTTACAACAAAATTCAGGTTTTATTTGGGACAGCTTTTTTATCGCTTTGCTTTTTACAGCAGGTGTCTTGTACGTAGTTTGTTGAAAACAACCAAAAAGTAGCAGTCAAAAGCTGTCTCAAATGAAACATTAATTGTAAAATCGAGGTCGAAAAATGCTTCAATGGCCGCAATAAGCTTGCCTTTCTGGCTACAATTTGTGGAACAATTATTAGGTCCTCCGACCGGACGTAGAGCTACGTCCGGTCGGAGCTAAAATCGCACCAATAACGAGGAATACCATCATGTGAAGATCCAATACCGAGTTATACCGAGCTATACCGAACAATACCGAGTTATACAAAAAAATCGGTATTTTTTTGTATAACTCGGTATTGATCTTCACAGAGCGGTATTCCTCGTTATTACTAAATAATACCTAGCAATGCCGAGTTTTTTTGGCGGGATTTTAGTGGCGACCGGACGTTCCTCTACGTCCGGTCGGAGGACCTAATAATTGTTCCAATTTGTGAATGTCATTTGGCTGCAAATCCAGCACCAAATAGGAGCTAGATATATGGGAAATGATTTGCTTGCTGAATTTCTACTAGTGTAAATATATAAAACAGCCAACACTGAAAGCACATCGCATTTCATAAACATTTGGAACAATTTTACAGAAGTAGAAACCAAATATCACAAATTGGTCAAAATGAATATGCTAATACAACACTTCTAATAACCAATACATTTGATCAAAAGTAATGTTCTGTTTATAATAATGTTTAAAATTTATAGAAGTAATATTTTAATATGAATAAAATTTATATTTCATTCAAACTATGATGCGCCGATACTTCTCTTAGAAGAGGTGTGCATTGTCTGACATGTACTTAACACGACACGTGTTCGACAGCTCCGACACATGTTAGACAAGTAGAAAACGTGTCTGATTAAAAAATATAAAATACAAATTGGACACGTGTGTTTTAAAT